CGGCAGACGGAGTGGGATCTGCACTCAGCCCACCTTTCCCCGCTTTGAGAATCCCTTTGTGCTTTCACCATGTGACCTGCGGAATCTCACACCAGAGGTTCCCTACACATTTATAAAACACGTGCATGGCTTGCATTTATAAAACACGTGCAGGGCTTGCTTGGTAGACTAGAGCTTCAGGGAGCCAGATCCCACATAGCCAGCTGTGGTTCAAATCCCGGCCCCAACAGATTGAAAAACACACCAAAGAAGCTTTAATTTTGTATTATTTATTACGATGTAGCCTATCATTTCATGGGGAAATGAACTTAAATCAACGTCAGTATGAACCGTCTCAAACGAACCGTCTCAAATGAACGGTTATAATAGTGAATGCCTGGAAGAGGACAAGTACTTTTAACAGTGAATTTCTACAAAAATATTATTGTAAAATAAATACTGCACTTAGCTAATCGTGTTAGTAATTTCGTTCTTTTCTGTTAGCAGCAGTTCATAGTTTTCTTGGTTTTTAGTTTTTCTTTTTTTTGGTTTTATTTATTTATTTATTTTTATGCTATCGGTTGTGTGCTCACCAAGAAAGACACAGATAGATAGGAAGTGAGGGAGGAGAATGAAGGAGAAGGGATCGCGGCGGGTCCAGGACGTGAACTGTGGTAGACTACATGGGAGTCCAGCGACTCTCTCTCTCTTTCTGCAGCGAGTACAAGCACCCGAGAGCAAAAATAAAATACAATAACAAGCTTTGAGGAAAGCTTTTTTAAATCTAAGTTTAGCATTTTTCTTGGTCACATTGCTGTGGGTTCTGCATCCCAGCGTCGCTGAGCCGGGGTCATTGGCACGTGGGGAAACCTCCAGACACGAACCCAGGACTTCACAGGTGGCTTCAGCATAGCAGGGCACTGTGTCACTGCTGTGACCCCATGGCTGGCTCCCTTGAGTCACTCCTGGTAGTCCCATCGTGAGAGAACACTTAGGTTGTAAAATACGTGAGCTTTCCTTAAGACGCCCAGGTCCTGAGGGGCAGCCCAGTCTGGCCACGGAACTGTGTTACGGTCAACCGGAATCGGCCGCGTGCTGTCGGCCAAAGCGTGCCAGTCACACTCGATTCTCGTCTCAGGACTCTGACAGTGGCTAGTATTCCCCACGGATAAACCAAGATGCCAGATACTGCAGCCAATACTCTCCTCGTTAAATCCAAGTGGGTGAGAACGAAACAGGAGGGATGTCATTCTTCAGTGCGCTGGGACCATTTCCAGTGCTTTGAAAGCTCAGGTGGCCAGTGGTGGTCCTATCTACAATATATGCGTCACCACAGGCAGCTCTGTGGGCCAGTGCTGGCTCGGAACGGCCTTCCCACGGCTCTCTGCACCGCCAGGGCCCACTGCCAAAGCCCCTTCCCACCCTGACTCGTACGTGGGCTTCTGGCTGACCGCGGTGGTGCGGCAGTAATGGAGCGCTCCCCGATGTCGAGGTCACATGGGACACAGACTCGGGGGTGATCATGAGGACCTTGATGGGGGTGCATCTCTCTCCTTCACGGAAGGAAGAAACAAATGATTGCTTTTTTTTGGAGAGGTTTTAGCTATAGGGTGCATGCGCTCGCCAGACAGACAGAGAGAGAGAGAGAGAGACAGAAAGTGAGAAATCACCCCCCAGGGGGATGGCCACGCCGCAATCCTTCCTCCTCCATTCTCCTCTCAGGATCTTGGGCACGCACACACACGCGCCCGGTGTGAGTTTAAGCCACCAGGTCCGGAACTCAAACTGTGGTTGACCACATGGGAGTTCAGCAACATAGCCATTATACTAACTGCTGGTTCCGATTTTTTTTTTTTAAGTGAGCTTCTCTGTGAGACACATCACCTCCCTTGTATAAAATCAAAACCCTCGTCAATATGCCCCCTCGCAACCCACACCTTCTGTATTGATCCATAGACGTCAGAGCTTCTAAGCCCACAGTATCTGATGCACATATTTTGTTTAATCTGTCCAGCCCAGTTTTGTTTGTTTGTTTCTTTGTTTGTTTGGGAGCTATAGGGCGCATGCGCTCGCCAGACAGACAGAGACAGACAGAGAGACAGAAAGCGAGAAGTCACCCGCCGGGGAGGAAGGCCACACCGCGATCCCGTCTCCTCCATTCTCCCCTTGGGATCTTGCGCACGCACGCACACGCGCCCGGCGTGAGTTTAAGCACCACGTCTGGGACTTGAACTGTGGTCGACTACATGGGAGTCCAGTGACAGAGCCATTATGCCAACTGCTGGTCCCCCATCTAGCCCTGTTAAAAGGTAAGGTTCAAGAGGGTAGCTCTTTCCATAAAGAATATGGATTCACTCATGACCCTTATAGCTAATGTTCAATTATTATTATGACAAAACAAAACCAAAAACAGCACTAGCCTGTGGCCCTGTGGTTACTGGAGCCAGATCCCACATGACTCACCAAACGGTTCGAGCTTCCGACCTGGCAGCTTGGGAAACATGCCAGGCATGTGTGCATACATGCACAAAATCCCTAAAGGAGGACCAGGAGAAGAGGGGGTCGTGGCATGATGGGGCCCCCCTGGGGAGGTATTCCCTTCCCCACTCCGTCTCTCACTCGCTCTCTGTCTCTGGTGAGCACATACACCCTCCGACAAATTAAAAGCACAAACTACAAACAACAAACAAGCCCTCGATGTCGTCCTTGTAAACAAGTAAACCTTCTATAAATGGTCTCCCTTTCAGCCATGTGCTCTCTTTGTATCCGTGTACTTTCTCCGGTTGGAAGTTTTTCTTTTCTGGTTCCAAAGGGCTCTAAGCGAGTCTGAAATGAACTCGATTTCATCAAAGAGTTTTCCCCTCTGAAAAGCCCCATCAAACGCTTGGCCTGACCGCTCAGGACGAGATGTTAATCACCAGCAAAGCGGTGCCATTTCACATCCCTTGGACACACGGCTGATTAAGAAACCAGACACTGTCAAGACCTCTTTTCCCACACTCAATCATTTTGCCTTTTTTTCTCACTTTCTGGTCCAAAAGAAGGCATGGAAAGTATGTGCTACACTTGAGACTGTTTTAAGGGTCCATGCTCCTGCCTGTGTCGGAGAGTGCTGCGCCTCATGTCAGCTGGGATGAGACACACGGAGATGCGAGGAAGCTTCCCAGGTCTCCCGACCCCTGCAATGGCCACAGACATCTAACAGGAAATGCATGTAAAACACAACTCTCCCAGCCTCAGAGAAGCATTTGTTCTCACCTGGGTTCCATGATTATCATGTTGGTTTAAAAATGTGGGATCTAGGACCAGCAGTTAGAGTAATGGCTATGTCGCTGGACTCCCACATAGTCGACCACGGTTCGAGTCCCAGACCCCGTGGCTTAAACTCATGCCAGGTGCGTATGTGTGCGAGCCCAAGATCCCAAGAGGAGAATGGAGGAGAAGGGATTGCGGGATGACCATCTTCCCTGGGAGGTGATTTCTTGCTTCCTATCTCTCTCTCTCTCTCTCTGTCTGTTTGGCGAGCCCACGCACCCTATAGCAAGAACCTGGAGCCCCCGCACCCTATGAGAAAAACCTGGCCAAAAAAAAAAAAAAAATGTGGGATCTGGGACCATCAGGTGGCATGGTAGTTAAGCCACTAGACTCCCATATGGCCGATAGCAGTTCGAGTCCCAGACCTGGTGGCTTGCTTTCTCACATTCCCTCTCTCTCTCTCTCATGTGTATTAAAATAATAGTAACAGTAATAATAATAATAATAATAAATAAAATTAAATAATTATTTTTAAAAAGTGGGATCCAGGGGCCGGTACATGGTGTAGCAGTTATGTTGCTGAACTCACACACGGCGGACCACAGTTTAAGTCCCAGACCCTATGGCCTGAAACTCACACCAGGTGCGTGTGCGTGCGTGCCCAAGGTCCTGAGAGGAGAAAGGAGGAGGAGGGATTGCGGTGTGGTCACCCCCCAGTGGGTGATTCCTCACTTTCCATCTCGTTGTCTCTGTCTGTTTCTGGCTCTCTGGCACATGCACATGCCCTAGGGCAAAAATCTCTAAAAAATGTAAAATAAATAAAAATAAAAAGTGGTATCGATAGGCACCTGGTGATTCTCTCTTTCCACAGCAGTTTCGGGGCTGCCCTATGTGTTAGCCACTCTTGTTGGGCTTTCTTACCGTGACAAGCATAGTCAGGTTATCCTCAAGATATCTTTGGGATCGTTTTCTCTTACTGCATTAATGATCTTCTTCTGCTTGGTACTTACATTTCGACACAGGTTTTTGGGTCAGAAGTGTATTACTTTTCTTCCTTTCCTCTTTTTAAAAAGTGCAATTTGTTTATTTTTTTTCTTGAGACAGAGAAAGAGAGAGAGAGAGAGAGAGACGCAGGGACAGAAACAGAGAGAGCAGGACCCGCGTGGGAGTGCACTATTCATTCTTTTCTTTGTTTTTTAAGAGAGATTTTCCTAAGCGCGTGTGTGCTCACTGGAGAGACAGACAGAGAGATAGAAAACTAGAAATCACCCCCCCGGGGGGATGGCCATGGCACAATCCCTTCTCCTCCATTCTCCTCTTGGGACTTCGGGCATGCATGCATATGTGCCCGGTGTGAGTTTAAGCCGTCGGGTCTGGGACTCGAACCACAGTTGACTACGTGGGAGTCCAGGAATGTAATCATCACACCATTCGCTGGTCTCGATCTCCCTCTAGTCTTAGCCAGCCTAGATTAAGGGGACTTGCACCTGGTGCCCTAGGCGGTCTCAGGATATGAACCCAGGACCTTTCCCATGTGGGTTCAGGTATGTACGTGTTGTGCCACCACCAGGCCCCTTTCCTACTTCCCTCCTGACAGTTAACAACCAAAGACACAAAGTGCACATGCAGCCTTGGGCCCGCCTCTGCTGTTGTTCATCGTTGGTAGGATTTTACTTCGCATTTCCTGTCTTCTCAAGTTCCAGACCCTCAGACTCCGTGGAATGTAACTTCCGGGCTGTTCTTTCTGTTTGTGCTCTTTGACACAGATCCCGGCGTCAGCCAATACCGTGTGCAGTGGTTTCCGGAAGTCTGTGCCCACAACAGAACAGCCGGGACAGCGACAGCATCTGCCATGACCCACGTAAGCAGGGGGTCCCCACACGGACTTGATTGGGCTATAGCCCTGGACGGAAGGGCCCACAGCCCCGATATGTCAGACAGATACCTCCCCTGCACAGGTCCCCTACTCCACTCATGGAAACGGAAATCGTGGGGGCCACCACTCACTTGTTCTTTTTTTTTGGAGAGGTTTTTGCTATAGGGCATGTGCGCTCACCAGACAGAGAGAGACAGAGAAACAGAAAGTGAGAAATCACCCCCCAGGAGGGATGGCCATGCCGCAATCCCTTCTCCTCCATTCTCCTCTTGGGATCTTGGGCACGCACACACACACGCCCGGGGTGAGTTTAAGCCACCGGGTCCAGGACTCGAACCACGGTCGGCTACATGGGAGTCCAGTGACATAGCCGTTATGCCAACTGCTGGTCCCAGAATACAGTTCTTAAAGAACTCCAAGATCAGCAAAGACAGACTTCTGAGTGTCTGTGTGTTTCATCTTCATTGGAAAAAAATAAAAAAGCCTTTGAATGATTTTCTGAATTTTGACTTGGCACTTTGACTTAAAGATATTTCTGTTTTAGTGACTTTATATGTGACAGCATCATTTAGACTTTTTTCCTCACCACATTCCTAATTGCCCTCAATGCATTCAGTTAACAAAGGATACTACCTGTCCCATATGCAATGAACTCATATATTTTGTCTTTAAACTTTTTTTTTTTTGAGAGGTTTTCACTCTAGGGCGCATGCGCTCGCCAGACAGACAGAGAGAGACATAGAGACAGAAAGCGAGAAATCACCACCCAGAGGGGATGGTCACGCCACAATCCCTTCTCCTCCATTCTCCTCTCGGGATCTTGGGCACGCACACACACGTGCCCGGCGTAAGTTTAAGCCACCAGGTCTGGGACACGAACCGTGGTCAACTACGTGGGAGTCCAGCGACATAGCCATTACGCTAACTGCTGGTTCCCTTGTATTTAAACTTTTAATAGAACATTAATAGGGCCAGCAGGTGACATGGTGATTAAGGTGCTGGATCCCACATGGCCAATCATGGTTTGAGTCCCAGACCCGGTGGCTTGAAAAGTATGCCAGGCACATGTGCATGTGTGCCCCAAATCCAGAGAGGAGAATGGAGGAGAAAGGATGCTTCCTGGGCATCCCCCTTGGGGCACGATTGCTCACTTTCCTTCCCTCTGTATCTCTGTCTCTCTCCTCTCTGGCAAGCACACAGGCCCTATGACAAAAACCTAAAATAAATAAATAAAGCTCTTTGGCTATAGCAGCTTTTCCAATACTATTGATAATAGTATTCCAACTATTTTGGAGTTAACCCCTGAGGTACAGATTAGGACCAGCCAATGGATACAAAATGTTTACGAGGGCGTTGTGTGCGGGATCTTCACAAAGTTCATGCAAGGTGCATATTAGGAAAAAACTACACATGAGTTTCGCAGGTTTTTGCACCCAAATACCTCTTGATTCAACTGCATTTTCCCATGGGCTTCTGGACATTCCTTTGTGTTATCAGCAATGATATTAACGGTTGACGAGATCCACAAACATGGCCCTGAATGTGCGATTTAGGCTTGGGATAGATAGGTAATGAGAATATTTTTGTTTTGAACATTTTATTTAAATAATTATTTATTTATTCATTATATTTTTTTATTTTTATTTGTGAAAGAGAGAGACAGAGAGAGAAAGAGAGAGAGAAAGCAAGCCACCAGGTCTAGGACTCGAACCATGGTCGGCCATGTGGGAGTGTCCAGCGCCTTAACCACTACGCCACCTGCTGGTCCCCTGTCTTGAACATTTTCTAAAACCACAAGTACAACAGGATCAGCACCGTATCTGATTGCATCACGTTCACATAGTGACCAAAAGCAAGTCACTGGCTCTGCAGAGAGTTGGCCTTTGTCTGGATCTGACTTGTGAACTCAGGTTCACCAAAGCTCTACCTTATATTCCACGCAACTTCTTCCCAAAGTCTGTGGCCTGCAATAAAACATAAACCTGACATTCTGAAAGAGAAACTATGTTTTAAAACCAGAGGAAAATATCCAAGGGAATGGGATTTACTAATTCTTTGGAGGTGCTTTGGAGTGCTCTGGAGCCCAGTGTCTGCTCTGGGTGTTGCCCCATCCCAGTCCCATCATTGGTAGGACACACCCCATACTTGGTAGAATTAAGAGCCCAAATCCTGCAGTGGCATACTGCGAAGGGCTTAGAACCTGTCAGCTTTCATTTTTAAATGACGTCTCTACTGGACTAATTGGCTTTCATCCCCTGCTGGGGCATCAGCTGATGCACCTACTGCTGCCTTCTGGGCCACATGAAAGCATTCTTGGAATTGCTGCAACCCAGAATCCTTCATGGCTAATCCTGGATTCTCATACAGTGTCTTGTAAAGTGCGGGATTCATTGTCAGCCATAAGCAGTTGAGACTTGCAGAGAGAGGAGGCCAGCTGGTTGTCTGGATGGAGCCAGATCCTCCTTAACTTACTTTGGTGTGAATTGCGAATTGCGCTGAGTTGGGGCCACCTCCTTGGCTGTCCCCTTCTGGATAAAGGGCTCAGGTGGTTGTTACCATCTTTTACACTGCCTCCAGCAACTTCTCCTGACTCAAGTAACCCAGGAGGACTTGAACCTCAAGGTTTTCTTTTCTTTCCTCTTTTTATTATTTTATTTTTCCCCCCTTTTTTCCTATAGGGCATGTGTACTCACCAGAGAAAGACAGAGTGAGATAGAGGGAAAGTGAGAAATCATCCCCCGGGGGGAAGGTCATGCTGCAATCCCTTCTCTAGTCTCCTTTTGGGATTGTGGGCACACATGCACATAGGCATCTGGTGTGATTTTTTTGTTTTTTTGAGATATTTTTGCTATCGGGCACACGCACTCACCAGAGAGATAGAGTGTAGGAAATGGGATGGCCACACTGCCATCCCTTCTCCTGCTCTTAGAATAATGGGCACATACACACATACATGTGCCTGGCATGAATTTCAAGCTGCCCGGTCCGGTATTTGAACCACAGTTGGCCACATGGGAGTCCAGCACCGTAACTAATACACCACCTGCTGGCCTCCAGAGTGATTTTTAAGCCTCCAGGTCCAGGGCTCAAACCACACTGTCAGGTAGGATCCAGCGCCTTAACCTCCATGACACCTTCTGTCCTGAACTTGAGTTTTATTTTAACTTTTGTCCCATATTTTCCCCCTCAGCCTCGCTGCTGTCTGGCAAGAATGTTTGCTCACCCACAGGGAGTCAGACAAATACATTCTACCTGCACCTCTTACACACCACATCGCAATTTGACAACTGCAAAAGAGAATGGAAAGGCAGAACTTCCCAGCCACACGTACAAGACGCAGACTTACAAACCTGTCATAAGAGTCACTTGCGTCTTTTGATATTCGTGTGTAGTCCATTATTCTAAGAAGCTGGCTCCTTGGCTCTTTAGTGTGTATCTCATATTTCTATTTCATCAAAATGCTACAGCAGGAAGCCAAAACAGCGTTCCAAAATGGGAAAAAAACACTGGGTCATCGGAAAAGTCATGACATAGTTGTTTTTTGTTTTTGAGAGGTTTTTGCTATAGGGCGCGTGCACTCACCAGAAAAACACAGAGAGACAGAGAGAGAGAAAGCGAGAGCTCACCCCCCAGAGGGTATGGCCATGCTGCAATCCCTTCTCCTCCATTCTCCTCTCAGGATCTTGGGCAAGCACACATATGTACCCGGTGTGAATTTAAGCCACCGGGTATGGGACTCGAACCACAGTTGACTATATGGGAGTTCAGTGACATAGCCACTATGCCTACTGCTGGTCCCATGACATAGTTTTCTATGCAAAAATGAGTCATGACTTTTCCAGTGACTCAATGCATTAGTAGTGAATATCTTGATGTTTAAGTTAAGAAAAAAAAATCCAAACTTATATAAAGTAAGCCTATGTCTCAGAGAAACCCAAGTTAGGTTTTTATGATCATGATTATGATTAAACTAAAGAAAAATGAGATTGTATTTCCCCCCTGTACCTCTGCCAATCTGAGAATGCTGGTTGTGAATATCGGAAGCCGACTGCTTCGATGCTGCAGGACCAGCAGTTAGCGTAATGGCTATGTCGCTGGACTCCCATGTAGTCGACTGCGGTTCGCGTCCTGGACCTGGTGGCTTAAAACTCACGCCGGGCGCGTGTGCGTGCGTGCCCAAGATCCCGAGAGGAGAATGGAGGAGAAGGGATTGCGGCGTGGCCATCCCCCCTGGGGGGTGATTTCTCACTTTCTGTCTCTCTGTCTGGCGAGCACACGTGCCCTATAGCAAAAATCTCTCCAAAAAAAAAAAAGAAGGAGAGGCTGCTGTATCCCTCAGCCAGGAGGGTTTCCCAATTATGACGAATCAAACAGAAAAGCCATATTGCACATACTCCATATATAAGAAAATGTTCTTATAGGAATATGATTTCAATTCCAGCCCACACTTTCCCCCTAATAAGATTTATTGCTAATAAATTCGCTCCCTCTCTCTCTTCAGGAAAATTACATAATTCTTCAGGATCTGTCATTTTCCTGCAAATACAAGGTGACCATCCAGCCAGTACGGCAGAAGGGCCACTCCAAGGCAGAAGCAGCATCCTTTACAACGCCCCCGTGTTCCAGTCTCAAGGGGAAAAGCTACAAGCACATTAGCTGTCCCGGGGAAGCAGGTATGTCTGCTCCTGGAGAGCTTCCACCCACATCTGGGTTGAAGGTGTCAGTGACACACTGACAACATTTCCACACTGTATTTGGCTAGACCCCAAACACTACAGGTACCCCTCCTTCTAAGTTACATGATGGCCAATGTGCTGGGACTATATGTGGACATATATATATTATTTCATAACCCTAAGCATTGGAAAGATGTCCTTTGCTGGCAACATGAAGGGACTTTGAGAAGTTTGTGCAAAAACAGAATTGAAGTATATATTTAGTTTGGTGCAAAAAAAAAAAAAATTGAATCGTGGGCCAGCAGGTGGCGTGGTGGTTAAGGCACCGGACTCCCACATGGGGTGACCACGGTTTGAGTCTTGGACTTGGCAGCTTGAAAATCACAGTGGGCGTGTGTGCATGCAGGCTCGAACTCCTGAGAGGAGAATGGTCAAAGGATTGTAGCATAGCCATCCCCCGGGGGTTGATTTTTCACTTTCTCTCTACCTTTTTCTCTCTGTCTCTTTCCAACAAGCACAGGTGCCCTACGGAAAAAATACACATCTATAAAATGAACCCATGCATAGTTTAATTCATGAGAGGCATTTCCCGTGGGGCGTTTTGCTGATCTTTTGCACTCTCTCTTTAGAAATGAAGGAGAATATTTAGAGATTGCTTGTGCTTTGGCATACAGGGACATCAACGACTTCATTTTCACCCTGCCCCTTTGCCCTGTGAATCATCTTCACATCCTTTGCACATTGACCTGCCTAGCCCCGTATCTGCCCCTTCCATTTTCCTCTGCTTTCCTTGTAGTGGGGACTGACGTCCAAGGCTCCTTAAATGCAGTCCTCTCAGCTCTTCCCATCTACTCTTTGGGACCAGCAGGTAGCGTAATGGCTATATCGCTGGACTCCCATGTAGTCAACTGTGGTTCGAGTCCCGGACCTGGTGGCTTAAACTCATGCCAGGCATGTGTTTGCGTGCGTGCCCAAGATCCCAAGAGGAGAATGGAGGAGAAGGGATTGTGGTGTGGCCATCCTCCCCTGGGGGGTGATTTCTCGCTTTCTGTCTCTCTGTCTCTCTTTGGTAAGTGCACGCGCCCATCTGCTCTTCTAAGAACACCAGTACCCACTGCCTCACTGGAATCATTCCTGTTCTCTAGACACGTTTAAGTTCTCTCCTTCTTTCGCCCCCGCAGCATTGTATAAGTAAGCCCCAGAGCATTAGTGTGACAGGGTGACAGCCTGAACCCTTGCTGAAAGAAAAATGGCAGGTTACCAACACCTCCCCATAGAGTGGCTGCCTATCATTCACACCTTGAACATAAGACAGGTGCCGTGTTGGCCCCTTCTCCATAGCCTAACTCAGAATTTCTCCATGCATCCTTACAGGTCATGCTCTTTCCAAAGTGCTAGCCAAGCCCGAGAACCTTTCTGCCTCCTTCATCGTCCACGACATGAACATCACGGGCCACTTTTCCTGGAAGATGGCCAAGGGCAACCTCCATCAGCCCATGACTGGGTTTCAAGTGACGTGGGCGGAGGTGACCACGGAGAGCAGACAGAACAGCCTCCCCAACAGCATTATCTCCCAGTCCCAAATACTGCCTTCGGTAGGTGTCACCCGGTTGAGTAGGGCTGACTATGTCTGTGTTGTTGGTAGCCATTGGTCACTGTCACCTGCCATCCCCAGGTGGGTATCTCTGCCATGCTGCCTGCTGTCCTGTGAGGTCTTATTTCTGCACTCTCTTCTCAGCGTATCATTATGCAGATATGAACACATCACATGTGTTCTCATGACCAGTTAAGCAGTAGCACAAGGGACCAGCAGGTGGTGTGGCGGTTAAGGTGCTGGATTTCCATGTGGCCTTCCACAGTTCGAGTCCCGGACCTGGCATGTGCGTGTGTGCCCAAATTCCTAAGACGAGAGTGGAAGAGAAGGGATTGTCGCATGGTCGTTCCCCAGGGGAAGGTGGATTTCTCACTTTCTGTCTCCTTTTCTCTCTTTCTGGTGAGCACACATGCTCTATGGCAAAAATCTAAAGAAACATACATAAAAGAACAGATTCCAACGAGTAGCACCAGCGTTTCAACAGACTTCTCCTCCCGAGTATCTTCTGTGCAGATGGCGGAGTCATTTGTCCCTGTCTTTGTTAACCTCCTGTCCTGCTAGTTTCTGTGGACATGCCCTGTTTGATCTGTTGAATTGGAGGGAAAAATAACTAAAAGAAGTGTGTTGTTTGTCTTTTTCCCCTTTCAAATTTGACTAGCGCCTATAACGAGCTGGCCTGTCTTCCAAGCCACTTAATTCCTTGGCTTGGGAAAAAAAATATATCTTGTGTGGGCTTTTTACCTTCTCTGAAAATGCCCTTAGCATATCCAAACCTTTGCTCTAAAGTCCAAAAAGAAAAAGAAAAAAAGAAAAAGAAAGAAAAGCTTAAATCCCGGAAGGAAAAATTCCATGGAATTAGAAAGCAGTCATTCTCTGCATGCGCTAGCTTTATTGAATGTTGAGAAGAATGTGTTGGCATATAAAAACGTGTTCAGTTACAGCTTTGGCAGACAGGGGGACTTAAGGGAAATGGTTGGCTCATTCACTGACAGGGCGATGATCAAGAATTCACATCACAAGACGGGTGGCCAGAAACTTCCAGTCACAGGAAAGTCTTCTGTTAAGGAGTAAAAAAATAAAACAGAATCTGAGGAGCGAGCCCTGGGAAGGGGCACCTGGCACAGGTTCACTCTGCCAAGGGTCTCGGGCTGGCGAGAGCTGAAGGAGGTGTTAACACACCACTCGGCAGAGACGCCTGCATTTCAGGGGAAACGCCTGCCAATTAGACTGTGGCTGGAAAAAGCAACTGAAGCTGCACTTACAAAATATTCTCTGGGACCAGCAGTTGGCGTAATGGCTATGTCGCTGGACTCCCATGTAGTCGACCGCGGTGCGCATCCCGGACCCGGTGGCTTGAAACTGATGCCGGGTGCATGTGCGTGTGTGCCCAAGATCCTGAGAGGAGAACGGAGGAGAAGGGACTGCGGTGTGGCCATCCCCTTTGGGGGGTCATTTCTCGCTTTCTGTCTCTCTGTCTCTCTTGTCTGTCTGGTGAGCACACGCACCCTATAGCAAAAACCTCTCCAAATATATATATATATTCTCTGATGGGGAGGAAACGCTCATAAGCGATGGGACCACGCGGGTCGTCTCTAAAAAGTCAGTGACCAGCCTGTCGTTGTATGTCACCTCCCCAGGATCATGATGTGCTGACCGTTTCCAATCTGAGGCCGTCCACCCTCTACCGACTGGAAGTCCAGGTGCTCACCATCGCCGGGGAGGGGCCGGCCACCATCAGGACGTTCCGCACTCCAGCTCTCCCGCCCTCTTCCGGACACAGTAAGTACAGTGTCTGGGCCTTCGGGTGCCTCAGCGGGTCTTGCACACAGAAAGAGCAGTAATACTGAGGGAATAAATCATTCCCGACCTCCATGCAACAGGGAATTCTTACCTCCAATGGTTACTCTCCAACTGTCTCTACTTCCTGGGTTTTATTTTTTTTTAGTGTGAATCATAAGTAGATGCTCAATCGCTTCCCTCTCCTCCCTGCTCTTCTCCTTCCATCTCTCCTTCTTTTCCCTTTTGTTTTCCAGAGAGACTTTTCCTAGAGGGTACATGCACACACAAGAGAGACCGAGAGACAGGAAGAGAGAAATCGCCCCCCGGGGTGATGACCACACTGCAATCCCTTCTCCTGCATCCTCTTCTTGGGACTTTGGGCATGCACATACGTGGTTCCAGTGTGTTTCAGGTCACTGGGTCCGGGGCTCGAACTGTAGTCGAGCATGTGGGAGTCCAGTGCTTTAACCACTGCGTCACCTGCCAGCCTCTCCTTATTTTCTGCATACGACAGAGTCTGAAAAGTTTACAGAAAATATATACTCTGCAAAAGCTATGTTTCAAAGGGTTTTTGTTTATTTCCTGATCTCCTCCATGAAAGAGAGACAGAGAGAAAGAGGTTCCTTAAACAGGGACCCCAAATGGTGATGCACCCCCAGCCTCAACCTGCTCACAGAGGTCTTGGGATGTGAACCCAGGAGGTTTCCTGTGTCCTGTGTGAGTTCCCTAGTGTTACCACTGTGCCACCCCCTGGCTGCCCCTTCACGGACTTTATGAAGTCTCTTCATCTGTGGTTTTTCCTTGCCTTCTAAGTCATATGTGCATATGGCAAAAAAGCTACTGTCTTATAGCAACCTGAGTTTTTTTAAAATTAAGACTTACAAGGGGCCAGTAGGTGGCATAGTGTTTAAGGCACTGGACTCCCACATGGTCAACCACTGTTCGAGTCCTGGGCCCTGCAGCTTGAAAACCACATTGTGTGTGTGTGTGTGTGTGTGTGTGTGTGGGTGTGTGTGTCCAAAATCCAAGGAAGAGAAGGGATTGCAGTGTGGCCATCCCCCTGGGAGGGGGGGGTGATTTCTTACCTTCTTTCTCTCCATCTCTCTATCTCTCTGAGAAGCACATGCACCCTAGACCGAAAATCTCTCCAAAAACTAATATAAAATACTAAAATAAAATGAAAAGATTTACAAATATAATAGCATAAGAGATACTATTTTACTAAGGAACTTCTTCTCTTTTTTTTTTTTGGAGAGGTTTTTTGCTATAGGGCACGTGCGCTCGCCAGACAGAGACAGAGAGACAGAGAGACAGAAAGCAAGAAATCACCCCCTGCAGGGGATGGCCACACCGCAATCCCTTCTCCTTCATTCTCCTCTTGGGATCTTGGGCACGCATGCACACACGCCCAGCGTGAGTTTAAGCCACCGGGTCCAGGACTTGAACCGCGGTTGACTACGTGGGAGTCCAGTGACATAGCCATTACGCTAACTGCTGGTCCCAAGAACGTATTTTCTTACTATGTGAATTTTGCTGTAATATGTAACAAATGTGTGTGTGTGTGTGTGTATGTGTATGTATAATTTTCTTCATGATATGATCTACATTCATCTATTTGATACATTGCTAAATCCAGTAAAAATTTTAAAAATTGCCTCCTAGTCTTGCAAAACAAGTAGCCTCTTGCTCAGCTTTGAATTATGATCTATTTTGTCACCTTTTAAAATTCTAGCTTCAGTGTGAAAAGCAATGTGTCAAGGTTTGTAGGTTGATCAGAAATATGAGATGGAATCCTCATTTAACCCTGACTTAAAAAAAATCATGGGTCAAACTTTTTATGCTTCTAATTTAATGAAAAACAAAAAACTACCACAATGGAAACACTTGACGGTCTCTGCAGTTTGTAAGCGATGAGATAAGATTCTTTTTTGGTATGCCCCCACTGAAATCCTCTCTCCTAGAAGTACGAGGGGTTTTTGTTGTTGTTTTTACTTTGCCAGCGGGCACTTATGCTCCCCAGAGCGAGACAGAAAGAAAGAATGAGAGGAGAAAACACATCCTCCACGGGGACTCGTCACATAGAAACCGCTCCTGCGTTTCCCCCGCCTTTGGGGATTTGGGGCGTGCACGCACACATGCCCTGCAATGCTTCCCAAGCTGCCAGGTCCAGGACTTGAACTGCACGGTCCGTCATGCGGGATCCAGCCGCCTCACGTATTCGTTCATTTTTAAAACTCTTTGGAGGATGTGAAAACAATGATGGTTTGCCTAAATCCTTGTGAACTTAGAAGGAAGGAGCTAGTCTCGTGTTTTATGGTCTGGGGAGAGGTGTGAGAGAGAGAGAGGGAGAGAGAATGAAGGAATGCGTGTGGACACTGAGGTTCAGAGTGGGCCAGAGGGTGGACCGCTTTCACTGACACGCGTAGGCCTCCTGTTCACTCACCGTGCATACCTGACTGATGTGTTCACGTCTTAGGACCTCATCTTAAACACCATCACCCACATCACTACAAGTCTCCTCCGGAGAGATACTAAGCTGTCTCAAAAGGCATTTACGCATTGCACAAATCAGTACGCGCGCTCAACTGCAGCCACCAGGCGGCCCACGGGGAGCAGCGGGAGGAACTTCTCGGAGGCCCTTCCTTTCCTCCGCGACCTTAGTGCAGTAAGTACTGTAATTGCCAATGCTTCCGGAGACAAGTGACAGGGAGCTGACCAGCGAAGACGGATGCCACTTTCCACGGGAATGGAGGAAATGAAGACCACGCCAACAGAAGTCTGCATTCCCTTCCATTATCGGCTTTGCTAATCCCTACTGACTCACTGCACAAATGAGATGTCCCCCGACTTGGAAACAGCATATTCTCAAGACCAAGTAGCATAACAAATAGCTCAGTCCTACCCGTGAGACATCCATTGAGTCACTAGGACATGTTTTTTGAATCACACGATTGATTTGTAAAATGAACTTGAGATTATACAGATGTTAGGCCCTATTTATCGAAACCTTTCATGAGAGCCTTTTTATTAGACAGGATTTTTAACTAACAATTTGTAACCTGAAAACTGCCAATGAATTAAGATCTAAAACTATCCACACTTTAAGCACCCGGTGCTTTTTTTCATACAGAGACAAATGAAAGTACAATCTTTAAGTTCTGATTTATGAAATACACCTTCGGTCAGACGGAAATGGATAAACTAAGGTGCTTCCCTGATTTTGCTTTGGAGAAACTAAAATTTGTTTCTGGGGACCTGTGTTGCTATTTCATCCTATACTATGAAAGCCTTTCCTAACAGTTTATCTTATTTATATGTTTCCTTACTTTCTTCAATGGGGACAACAGCTGTTGGTATTCTTGCTTTTACCATCTGCAAGTTTATAAAAACCTCTTGCTTCAAATGAAAAGAACACCAACTATTAAACAGTTTCCATTCTTTATGGAAATCTGCCTTTTCTTAATCAAAGTGACCTATGTGTATGTTAAGATATTCTCCATACTGTAAAAACAAAAAAAAAAAAAAAAAGGAGGGGGGGAAGGCTTTGATTGAAGGAGAAGGACAATTATTTGCCTTCAATGAACCTTTACTGTTTCAAATCCATTCTATCTTGTTTAGAAAGTTTCTCATGGTCTAGACTTCTCCTTTATAGCATGAATCGAAGTAAAAACATGTTATCAACATACAGTCGCTGTGTATATTGGGGCAACCTAAGACACAGGAATGTGTATTTGAAAATAGTTTATTCTTGATGGGAATACCCACATACCTTGTTCAAAGTGTGGAAGGCTGTGGGTATACCTATGCACTGAAAAGTGTGTGTGTATCTATGTATACATATATGAGTATACGTGTATATATGTATGTATCCACACACAGACACCTGCATATACATGCATACACCTTGCGTATGAATCACTAAGAAATTGTTTTCACCAACCACCGATTATGGGTAAAGATATAGCTGTTCTTTTTCTTTATCTGTTCTTTTTTTTAAAAAAAAAAAAAACTTCCTTTAATTGCCACAGGGAATATGTCTTGACCAGAGAGAGAGAGAGAGAGGAAGTACTCCCCATGGGGCATGGTAACACCATAATCCCTTTCCCTCCAGTCCCCCTTTCCACCAGGTGGGTGGATATGCACACACACACACACACACATACACACACACACACTCTCAGTGTGCTTCTCCAACTCCTGGGGCCGGGAACAGAACGGTGTCCGCTATGTGGCATCTCATTCCCTTCATCTCTGCATCAGATGTATGAGTTCTTTGAAAGATCGTAAAGATAGTATCCTTTCTCCACCAATACTGAGTCGATGAGAATGGAGTCATTTACCAAAAATGAAACATTTGACAAGAAAGACTTCCTGCCACATTTTATTATCGGCCCAAGTACCATGGGAATACAAGCAGTGACATTATTCTTAGGTTTTGATGCTGGAACTTGTTCCTATGGATTCATTTTCTGGGTAGGTGCATGTGCCAGAACTCACCGACCCCGTGAGGCTGCCCTGTGCTGTGGAAAGGTAGACGCAAAATACACGCAGAGAGACCACCTTTACTCTGTTGAGGCACGCCACTAGAAAACACAGTCTGGAACACGGGTACCTGACAGCAGATATTGCAATCCGCTTCCTGCGGGTTAAAGTGTTTACCAAGCAGGTAATGCAGAAACGTCTTGCAGCTTTGGACATGGACCATGAAATACAAACTCCGAAGGAATGCTCATGTTGGTTTCTGTAGGTTCTCCTGCTGTAGGCTGGGGTGAACTTACATCATACGTGTTAAGAAGTCGTCAGGTTCTAACACTTAGGTATTTGGAAGGAAAAGAACAAGAAAGACTCTTCACATGAGCACACCCTTTAGCTCGAGCAAACCCCAGAGACATCGCTGAACTTGCGATTTATTCTAGTGCCATGGTCGACGCTGGCATGTGAAGTTCTTGAGATTTCAACAGTTAACACGTCTAATGACTGACTACCCATTGATCTTCTTCCTTAATTTGTCATAAGCAAATTGAAATATTTGTGTGAGCTAATTTCTGTACTGTTGTATTGTTTAAAACATAGGCATATATAGATACAAAATTGTATTAAATTATTATATAAATTTAATTTTATAAAATTTAATTAAGTTTCTTATGTCTGCATAATAGACATTGAACAAATGAATATATACTTAGTCAGATGACGGTTCTTGTAGCTTACATCCTCCTTAAAACACCGGAAGCTGCTTTATGAGAATCTAATTTTGCTATGACATTCAGTGATTTTAATTCTATTTGTGTGGTGAGAAGGAAAACATCATTATTAATAAAATGATCAAAGAAACTTAAGTTTCTCTTTTGAAGCTTAATAACCTACAATAACAGTCAAAGTTCAAAAATATGATTTTTGAATTTTAAAAATGTGTGCAGTAATAAAGGGATAAAATCCAAGTGCTCTTGAAAACAGAGCTCTCGTACCTGATTCTGTCATATGTTTTCTTGAAGTTAGATGCCTTTCTCAAAAGCGATGGAAAGTAGATCCAGTGACACCCGACATGAGTTTTAACCTGCTGGGTCCGGGGCTCAAACCATGGTCAACGCTGTGAGAGTCCAGCGACGTAACTATTCTGTCATCTGCTGGTCCCCGCTATAGAATGATTTTTATCAACCAATATGTGCCCTTTCACATCATTACCAGTTGAACATGACTGACAGAAAACAAAGTGGTCATGGTAGTCTTCTGAAACATGTATTAAACATTCATAGGTTAAAACTACACCTGTGTCTTAGGAACTGGCAAGAACGCAGAAGTGGAGAGGTTTCTGTTGCGGGAGGCTGTCCCGAGCAAGGCAGGGCGTGTGGCCGCATCCCGAATCTCTGTGTTTACTACAGGCCGGTTGCATGTCTCCTTGAGTTGAGAGAACCAGAAATGTCTCCAGAGACTGCCAAGTGCCTGCTGGGGGATCCATGCACCCCGGGTGGAGAACCACTGCCTTAGACAGTGATCTTGTGATGAGAAGTGAGATGAGAGATGAGAAGTAGCTCTAAACAAGGAACTCGATACGTTCTAGGAGCGAGCCCCAAGAACTGAGGGACACCCAATAAACCACTGCATTTGACTTCCATGATCTGAATGGCGTCCTTTATGTCCCCCTGATTCAAAGAACGGATTTGGACCTGTGTCTATATTGTGCAAATACAAACATCCGTTGTGTTCTGTGCATCTGTAAATGCCGTTTGTGATATTGACTTATTTATTTAATACTCTTTCTTACACTAGGGGCCATGGGTTCCTCAAGTTTACCGATAGTTGTGATTGCAAATAACCTTAACTCTTGTCATACAAACTTTCATGTTATAACCAGATCACGATGGCTAATTATCTGTTGCATGTACTCAGAAGTTCACTTTCAAATGCAAATGGATCTCTAAAGATATCGATGCTTCTCTATGGTTTTGCATGACCATCGTACCTCTATGGAGTACTTTAGCCACTCACACAATTTACAGAGTGATTAACACAGGCCTATACAAAGTTACTGTCTTTTATCTTTTACTTAATTATATCGTAGGATGCGTGTAACACAACTGTTACCTTCTCATGGTCTGTAGAATTTGCATCCCTTCTAGTGGTCATCGAAAACCAGTATTTATTTATGTATGTAATACACAAAGTTTGATTTTTGTGTATGTCCGTCACGTTCTTTAGAAAGAAGTAATCTTGTAAAAAAAAATCTTGTAAAAAAAAACAAACAATATTGTAAATAGTCTGATATTCTGTGACTCATTATTTTCATGTTAGAGTCTGTACATACTGCTGCAGTAATAAAGTATCCTGATTCCTGCTCAATTATTTGACTCATTGATTTCTTAAAGAAACTTTTTTTTTCTTTTAAGAAGGAAAAGTGGATAGTTTACTATGCCACCAGGGATATTCAAAAAGCCTGACTTTCTGTGTCAGTATGAATGGAATTTGAGGCCTGGTAAATGTTAACAAGGCCTCACTTCATTCTAAGGATAGTATTTTGGAGTTTGACGATCAACATTTCAGAGTTCTGAAATTATATTTACAATTGTAATTCCTGATGCTTTTTTTTTAAAAAAAAAATCAATGGTCTACAGTTTTCTTTTTTTGTTGTTCTAAAGAGGTTTTGCCTTAGGACACATGTACTCAGTGGGGAGAGAGACAGAGACAGCAACAGTGAAAGGGAAAGTAAAAAAATCACCCCCCAGAGGAGATGGCCATGCTGCAATCCTTTCTCCTTCCTTCTCCTCCCAGGATCGTGGTCATACATGCACACACACATGCGCCTGGTGTGATTTTTAAGCCACCAGGTCTGGGACTTGAACTGTGGTCAGCCAGTGTGGGAGTCCAGTGATGTAACTGCTCGGCCATTTGCTGACCCTATGCTCTACAGTTTAAAATAGTTTTTTTTTTTTTCCATCAAGATTCAGTCATAAGATTGTCCATATATGCAACTTTAATAAGCACGTATTCATATCTCTAATTGATTTCTAAACATTATTTCTAAAAATGTCTAAAAATGGAAAATTGGTGATGATGCGTATGGCAACCCCACTGACTAGACTAACACGCAGTGTATTCATGGTGGGGAAATCCATTCTGCATGCTGTAAAGATGTACGGTGGTTGAACGTAAGAAATAAGAAAGCAAGTGAAGGGAAAAAGAAAGGGAAAGAAGACGCGGCACCTGTGGGTGACAGAGCAAAAACAAAAACAGAATAGAATCAGGCCTCTGTGGTGCGGTGGGTCATGCTTGGTGCACGGACGACCTTTCTCTGCGGTGGGTTCTGTAAGGACCGTACCACGGGCTACACAGACACAGTGAACGCTGGGTGTAGTCATGTGCACATGCTGTGAAAATCCCACAGTGTGTTTGTGCAGGTCAGAGGGTGGCACGGCAGGAAACCTTGCTGCTCTGTCAGGCTGGCCCACGTGGGGAGATTCCAGGTTGGAGCCCAGAGACCTCCCTGCATATGCCAGGCATGTGAGTACCCATGATCTGGAGCTACCAGGCGTGCATGGTTGACCTCAAGACTCCATGGAGTAGAAATTAACTCAAAAAGTCAAAGGGTGTTTCTGTGCAAGTGTTCACAAGTGTTTCGGAATGTCAGATGACTGGGCAGGGAGACTGAGGGTTTTCAATCACTAAAACAATTCAGTGCAACGAATAGCAAAACGTGTCAAGGGGACCAGCAGTTGGCGTAATGGCTATGTTGCTGGATTTCCATGTAGTTGACTGCGGTTTGAGTTCCGAACCTGGTGGCTTAAACTCATGCTGGACGCATGTGTGCTTGCCCAAGATCCCGAGAGGAGAATGGAGAAGGGATTGCGGCGTGGCCATCCCCCCTGGGGGGTGATTTCTCACTTTCTGTCTCTCTGTCTCTCTCTGTCTTTCTGGCGAGCGCACGCACCCTATAGCAAAAACCTCTCCAGAAAAAAGAAAAATGTGTTAAGGATACTTGAGCCAACACCTGCTAGCAGCTAGTCTCTAGGGGTGATGAAATATACTTATGAATAAAATGAGAAAGAGGAGTGGTTTATCATGTAGGCTCTTCATTTAAGAAGGTTCTAATCGAGAGAGGGCAGAGTAAGAGAAAGTTGGGAAAGCCAAGACCAAGAATGAAAGCAATACCAATGAAGAACGTCTTTAGAAAACAGGGCACATAAAGAGGGAGATGGGTGAGGAGGCAGAGAGAGATCAAAAGGCCAATGATGGAAAAGCCGAGGGCTCTTGTCTTTATACATCATAGCTAAGAGCCAGGGATCTGATTTGGATGCCACATACTGGATCGTCAGAAAAATCAAGACATAGTTTCTCTACGCAAAAATGTGTCATGACTTTTCCGACGATGCAATAGTTTCAAAGTGGGCACGCCCTACAGTAAACGCTGTCAAGGACAGGTCTCTGGTTGACAGAAATGATGGAGTCTGGAGAGCTGCAGAGCAAAAACTGCAAGCCCTCGTGGGATCTCCCTGGGCTAAACAAATTTCAATGCAAATTCAGTTCCTCCATGAGGTGCCAATTTCATGCAAGGAGTGTTTTTTCTTCCGTCTCTCCCTGTTTTACTTTTGAAGAAAGTTGTAGATGCCCATGCAACTGTAAAACAGAAGAGATTAATATCCTGAAGACTGCAGGGACCAGCAGATGGCATGATGGTTACGTTGCTGGACTCCCATGTAGCTAACTGCGGTTCGAGGCCCAGACCTGGTAGCTTGAACCTCATGCTGGGTGCGTGTGCATGTGTGCCCAAAATCCAGAGAGGAGAATGGAGGAGAAGGGACTGTGGTGTGGCCATCCTCCTGGGAGTGATTTCTCACTTTCTGTCTGTCTTTCCAATGAGTGCATGCACCCTATAACAAAAATCTCTCTCTCTCTCTCTCTCTCTCAAGATGTATATATCTTGAAGCCTACATCTAGTTCTCCACAATAGTGACATCTTTCAAAACTATAGCACAATCACACACCCAGGAAATTGACATTAATAGAGACCAGATACCTTATTCTGATGTCACAATTTCACAGGCATACACTTGTGTGTGGGGGGGGGGAGGGAGAGGGTTATGTGTATTAAATTCCATATTTTAAGCATGCGAGCATCTAAAGGACCCAGAACGACTTCAAGGAAGTATTGCAATTTCTGCCCATTTCTCTGGGGCTGGATGCAATTAACTTTGCGCCGGTTTGAACTCCAATACGACAGAAATGACTGACTCAAGAGGCCTGTGACGCCGTCTGAAATTTCAGTCAATCAGCTGTTGCCGTCAAGTGGCCACGCACCTAACCAGCCTGTCTAGGAACATCTGTCTTGTCCAATGAGACTAAATTCATATGCCAAGTAAAATCTACGGAGACGCAAAACCGTTTCGCTGAGAGGAATCCTGGTGCATAGATATGCACTGAGAGTAAATTTGAGAGAATAAAAACAGCTAAATACATGATTGTTCTAATCTAAACATGGCCCCCAATAGGACAGAGCATCAAGTTTCAGATGAATGCAATCTGTAAAGACGGAGTTTTGAATAATCCACTCTGATGGTTAGCATGACCCTGACCCAGGGTCAGAGGCTCTCAAAACCAGCTGCCTATTAGAATCCCAGAGGGAGCTTTTAAGAGGACCCGTGTCCTCAGGCACCTTCAGATACAAAATTAAGTGTGGACCTCAGTATAAGCGTAAAGGGTCCCCAGGTGATTCTAATATGGGCTGAGTACCACAAAGCTGTCCTCCAGACCCCCAGGAAATATTGAATGATACATGTCAGAAACATTTCTCCTCTCAGAGCTGAAGAAGCAAAAAGTCTTATGGAAGCATCGCATTTTGATCGCATCTGGGTGACGATTTCCCAAATTCTTCCATGTTGTGGTTTACTAAATTGTGCATGGAGATGCAGCTATGGATAGACACGCAAATGCGTGCACATGTGTATAAATGTAGGTATGCATGTCACAGGAGCTTCCTCTCATGCTTCTTTTGAGTATAACTGTGAACTTCTTTGGGGAAATATTGATAAGACATAGGATAACACGATGCCCTGTGAGGCTGACTACATGGGAAGGTAGCCAGTCTACATATGGGAATCTCTGAGCACACTGGGCACATGGGTGCCCAGGATGTGGGGCTGGTTATGACTGGGGGTAGACCATGGCATGAAGACTGTGTTGGTAGTCTCTCTCTCTCTGTCTCCTCTCTCTCTCTCTGTCTCTCTAGCTCATGAAGGAGAGAAATAAGTAAACTAAACCAAAAAAGAAAAGACAAAAACTCCTGCTTGGGATGTTCGAGAGTACTGCTCGTAAACGTTACCTCTCTTTCCTGGCTGCCCCATGAAATAGCTTGAAAAGACGCAGCCGGTTGTGATTTACGTGCATTTGAAGAAGCCAATTAGAATTGATCCACCACTGCCGTGATGGCTCCAGACAGCCTTACAATCCACGGCTGCTCCTGCTGACCTCTTCATTCGCCGTCCCTCCTTCCTCAGCGCAAACAGCAGCCAGGCAAACGCAACGGGCTTCGTTATGAAAATGGAAGCCATCCGCATCTTGGGGGGAGCAGTCCCTCTCGGTATTGCACGGGGTCCTTCACAAGGCTGACCTTGCACTGTATTGTCATTCAGTAGAGGCACAAGCACACAATGGAGCTCTACAGCCCACCTGTGCCGAGGACCCTCTGGCTATAAGATACCAGGCGCGTTCACTTGCCTTCCGGAAGTCATTTCTGCAGCCACCAAAAGGGGCTGACGGTATTCTGAAGACCAGGATGGTGAGGTGAAGCCAAGTGAAGTCAATTGTCCAAGGCCGGGTAGCTTGTGAGTGGTCATGTCTGGAAATTAGCCCAGGTCTTACCCCCAGTGTCCTCCCGGCTGACCATTAAATGCTCTTCCTGCTAGAATGTCCTCCCAGGAGCTTTAGTCACA